GAAGTATAAAAGTCCTTAGGAGTGATAGGGGCGGTGAATACTTCTCCACTGAATTTGATGCATTTTGTGAAGAACATGGTATAATACATGAATGTTCGGCACCTAGAACACCACAACAAAATGGCATAGCAGAAAGAAAGAATCGAACATATCAAGAAATGATGAATGCCATGTTATTGCATTCCGAACTACCTTTCAATTTGTGGGGCGAAGCTTTATTATCCGCTTGTCACATAATAAATAGAATTCCCTTAAAGAAAAGTGGAATTTCTCCATATGAGGTATGGAAGGGCATGACACCAAATATTGGCTACTTTAAGGTGTGGGGGTGTGTGGCATATTACAAAAACATGGATCCTAAGAGAACCAAGTTGGGTCCTCGAGGGATAAGATGTGCATTTGTAGGATATGCACAAAATAGCAAAGCATATAGACTGTTAAATTTAGAGTCTAATATTATTGTTGAATCCCGGGATGTAGAATTCTTTGAAAACCTTATAACTAAGGATAAAGAATCAGAGTCGGCCATAAACAAGGAATCTTGTGAAAAGGACTTTTCTCGGATTGTAGAAATACAACCTGAAGACACATCTCGAATAAATGAACCACGACCCGAACCTAGGATAAACAAAAGAGTCCGGAAAATAAAGAACCTAGGACCAGACGAAATTGATTCTCAATCCATTTCATTTTATCTGGTTGAAGGAAATAGTACAAATTTTATTAAAAGCATTCCGGTAATTCTTCAAGTAGGGGAAGATCCTAAAACTTATAAGGAAGCAATAGCTTCAAGAGACTCCTCCTTTTGGAAAGATGCTATCCGAGATGAAATGGATTCAATTATGTCCAACCACACTTGGGAACTTGTTGATTTACCAAAGGGATCAAGACCCATTGGATGCAAGTGGGTGTTTAAAAGGAAATATCATAGTGATGGTACATTAAACACTTATAAAGCAAGATTAGTGGCAAAAGGATTTAGACAAAAGGAAGGTATAGATTATTTTGACACTTATGCACCTGTAGCGAGAACAACCACTATAAGGTTGTTGTTTGCTTTAGCATCTTTAAATGATCTGATTGTTCATCAAATGGATGTTAAAACAGCATTCCTAAACGGAGACCTCGATGAGGAAATCTACATGGAACAACCAGAAGGACACGTCCTTCCTGGAAATGAACAGAAGGTGTGCAAACTTGTCAAATCTCTATATGGCTTAAAACAAGCACCAAAACAATGGCATCAAAAGTTTGACTCTACGATAATGTCAAATGGATTTATTCCTAATTCTTGTGACAAGTGTTTATATACAAAAGTGTATAATAACACTGTAATATTTTTGTGTCTTTATGTTGATGACATGCTAATAATTAGCAATAGACTTAATGGAATTCTAGAAACAAAAAGGTTTCTAACTTCCACTTTCAAGATGAAAGATCTTGGGCTTGTTGACACAATTTTAGGAATAAAAGTTAAGCAAAATAGTGGGGGTTATGAACTTAATCAAACACATTATATTGAGAAAATGCTTGATAAGTTCAAACACCTGAAATTCAAGGAAGTAACTACTCCATTTGATCATGTAATCAAACTTGAAAAGAATGATGGAAGAGCAGTGGCTCAATTAGAATATGCAAGTGCGATCGGATGTCTTATGTACTTAATGCAATGTACTAGACCCGATATATCATTTGCAGTTAGTAAAATGAGTAGATTTACTAGTAATCCAAGTAATGAACATTGGAAGGCAATCACGAGGATATTTGGTTATTTGTTGAAAACCAAAGATCTTGGTCTTCATTATGGTAGGTTTCCTGCTATACTAGAAGGATATACCGATGCCAGTTGGATCTCTGACGTGGGAAATCACAAATCTACAACTGGGTGGATATTTACACTAGCTGGAGGAGCAATTTCCTGGAAGAGCAAGAAACAAACATGCATTACTCTTTCGACCATGGAATCAGAATTCGTGGCTCTCGCTTCCGCTAGTCAAGAGGCAGAGTGGTTGAGGGATCTTCTCTTGGAAGTTCCATTGGCTAAAGACAATGTTTCAAAGGTAATGATACACTGCGATAGTCAGGCCACTTTGGCAAGAGCATTTAGCGAAGTGTATAATGGAAAGTCCAGGCATATAGGACTTAGACATTCGTTCGTAAGAAAACTGATTAAGGATGGAATCATTTCACTTACGTATATACGAACAAGCTATAATTTGGCTGATCCGTTTACTAAGCCGCTGGCCAGAGACTTAGTAAGAACAACCTCGAGAGGTATGGGGTTGAAACTCCTTGAGTAAGAGTTCCGACAATGGCGGCAACCCAATCTTAAGTTAACAGAACATTAACGTTAAGATTTTCAATGGATAACAACAAGTCGTTGATTTGGATAATTGTCTAACATTTCATAATTATGTTGACATTAGAAAAGAGGGTTGAGTTTTATCTTAAACTCTTAATGAAGTTCAATACCGAGGGTACGTATCTATTGGAAACAGATACTATATGAACTTCACCTATGTGAATTATGAGATGGTGCCGTCTCAAAGTGAGAGTTGGAGTTTCTCTCATGAAAAAATTCATGAAACAGGATAGCACATGGCCATAAATAAGTGCTAAGCGAGTTATGCAGAGGAAGAATCTTTAAGGAGTGTGTGTAAGGTAACACCGGTCTATTCAAATGGATTCATGGTTTAAAAGCATTGCTACCTAATATTCCGATTAAACCTTGTGTTATTCTTACTAAGGTTAAGTTTAAAATCGAAAGATACTTAACTGTATTAATACTTCTTATGTCCCATTTCTGGAATTATTATTTTGTCATTATTAGAACAAGTGGGGGATTGTTGAAAATAATAATTTATTTCCATTAAAGTTGTTCCAAAATGACAAAGTGGGGTTATAATAAATGCTTAGTCCCACATTGGAAGAGGAGTAAAATTAAATAGCATTTATAAGGCACTTGGAACAATGTAATTTCCAAAAGAGCCAAAAAGGATAAAGTGCCACATAGTCACATGTGGTGGTGCCAAAACTTATGTCACTTGTCTCATACAAAACACCCCTCGCCGGTGTCGCCACCGGCTCCGGCTCCGGCTCCGGCTCCGGAACCGGAACCGGATCCGGGGGCGTGGGCGTAGAGGCGCTAGTGGCGGCTTGTAGACGGCACTTGAGCACTTAGGCACGACGCATCGGAGCAATCGGGCTATTCGCGGCGTTAATGAGGCGGCGCCTGTGGCGCTCCGGCCGCCTCCGGCGGGCGGACCGGCCTTCGGCCGGTATACTGCGAATTTAATTTTTAATTATCGCTCAGACTTATTCGTTGCCTAGAGTTTGATTTTGAATTTGAATTTGAAATACATGACACTTGACGAAGTGGTGCATGATATTTTATGTGAACCATTGCAAATGCTCATTAGAGAGTGTGTTTATGAAGAATTGCAAACTTCTGAAAAGACACATGCATGGCTATAAATATATGCTTCATAATTCGAAATCATTTACTCCAAAATTCTGAAATCCTCTTCCATATAATTCCAACATTTTCCTTGCATTCGAAACTTCATCAGTCTTGTGCAGTTTCGAGAAAAAGGCTGACTTATCCTGGGTATTCAGGCCGTTCCAACTCTAAGACAATCTGAGAGTGTGCTTGAAATACTTTTAAGGAAAGTGATTTCGTTCACGATTCAGTCTGGATCCATTCGTCATAGAAGAATTATCTAACATGCATAACAAATTCAAGTATGATTTTGTATAATAAAACCTTTCCGTACACCTTTTAAATTTAAATTTATTATTATCTAAATATTTTTGTTCAATTTTTTAATTATTTTATTATAAATGTTCAATAAATCAATGTAATATAAAATTAAATTTTGATGGTTATTAAAATAATTAATATTTTCAAATATTTGTGTAGTATATATACATATTTTTTAAATATATGTATAACTAATTAGAAATATTATATTTATTTAAAACTTTAATAAATTTTATTTTTTTTCTAATATAGAAATTATATGAAGTGGGAAAAATCGAGTTATTGATCAAAATATTGAATCATAACGGGAACAATTTTACTATTGATTCAAATACTTCTATAAATAATATCAAAACAAAAATTATATTTATATACGAAAAAATATATTGTTAATTCAAATAATTTTTATATACGAAAAAAATACTATTGTTATAAATAAGCACAATTTTATTTTTAATTCAAATATTTTTATATACAAAAACAACTGTAATATTGATTCAAATATTTTTATAATTAGTGTCAAAACAAAATTAATACTTATATATGAAAAAAAATATTGTTAATTAAAATATTTTTATATAAGAGATAAAATATTATTGTTATAAACAGGAACAACTTTACTTTAATTCAAATATATTTATAAATAATATTTTAATTTAAATATTTTTATAAAAGAAACAACTTTACTATTGATTCAAATATATTTATAAATAATGTTAAAACAAAAATAATATTTATATATGAAAAAAATATATTGTTTATTAAAATATTTTTATATACATAAAAAAATATTATTGTTATAATTATAATCAACTTTACTATTGATTTAAATATTAAATAATAAAAATTTATTGTTTATTCAATCTTGTAACACAATTGTCTTTTTTTAAAAAAAATTTAAACGATTAATTATCTAATATAAATTTTAATATTTTTTAATATTATTATTTTTAATATTATTATTTATCTTTCATTTCTTACCTATTTAACTATTTCAACTTAAATTTATTATTATTTTTAAATTTTTTCTATTTTCAGTTTTTTATACAAATGTGCATTCCATTAAAAAAAAGTATTTTGAGTATTTCGGCATTTCAAAATTTTAACATCAATGCACACCCTAGAACACTGTCTAGTGTCTCTTCTCTCAACCCTTTCCCTTCATTCCTTCTATTCAGTGTGTGCGGGTGCATCGAGAGCCACGTAGACCGTGATAGCCCTCGACACTTCGCCGGTGAAAATGATCGTCTGTGTCGCCGTCGTCGGTCACCAGGTAAGTCTCCGTCACTTCACCGTTCCGCTCTTCAATTCCGTTTTCTCAACTTCGATCTGATCTCGAACTCTGATTTTCAATGATTTTTTTTTTTTTTCATTTTTGTTTGGTTTTTCCGATGACCGCAGAACAATCCGTTGTACATACAGAGCTTCACGGAGGCCGATGATGCTCTCAAGCTCCACCATATCGTCCATTGCTCGCTTGATGTGGTTGATGAGCGAGGTGCGTTCACTATGCGATCATGCTCATTTCAATTTGGGGATTTCTGGTTACTTTATTTTATCTACTTGATTTTTTCTTTGCTGCAAATGGTTGAGGTTTTGGTACCCTTAGTTTAGAGAAATTTTCATTTTTTTTTTGTTGTTTGAGGTTATATTGTTGGATTTGGGATTTTTTTTCTTGTATGCAAGTTTTTTATTTTGCTTTTTAGGATCTTCTAATTCAGAGAAACGTTCAATTTGTTAATTTGTTAGTTTGCTTTTTAGGAATCTAATGAAATGTGCTTGTTTGGCAGTGAACAATCCTAAAAAATCTGGACCTATGCTGAATGAGACGTTTCTAGGACTGCTTTATCCTATTGAAAACTACAAAGTGTGAGTGCATTGTTTTCGGTTTGGTTTTTCTTACTTAACTTATGTGTAACCCAACAATGAAAAGTGGTTGATTTTCATTTGTTGATCCGTATTGTCATTTGCAGTTATGGATATCTGACTAATACAAAGGTCAAATTTATTTTGGTGACCACGGATCTAGATGTTAAAGATGCAGATGTAAGAAATGTAAGTATCAATAGAATTTGATGGTTTTCTTTCATTTCCTTTTGTCATCATGAATGGGAGTATTTGACTGATGCAGTAATACTTCTAGCAGTGATGTTGATTTTATGTTGAAGAGTGTATTTTTATTCACGGTGGAATACCACATCATCGTTCATTGAGCTGAATCTATAGTTTGAGCTTTGATAAAATCACGGTTATTTGTCATTGGGATGGCTGAAAAGCAATCCTGCCGTCTAATCAAACATATGCAAAGTAAATGGTGAAATGTAGTTGTGTTAAATACCTGCAATGGAAGAATGGGTCATTCTTTCTGTTAGTTTAGTTATATAACTAGTTAGACAGAGATCTTTCTGCTGCCAAAAATAGAAAGGACTGTAATAATGTGAGGTCTATGGGTTTGGAGTTAAATTGGGAGAGAGGGCAGGTCACTGAATACCTAGGGTGCAGAGTAGTGACCCATTTCCATTGTACACTCTTGGCCTCCAAACACATTGGTTTGATGTCATTCTTTCTGTATTTGAAGTCTTCTGTTTTCCCTATCTAATCTATTTCCATCACCAAGCTAAAATCAATGCTGAGATTTCTGGTTAGATGGCTGTTGGTTACCATTTGAAAATTTCTTTTTATTCATTTTAACTGCTGCCCGATACCAAATAATTTGAAAGGGAGCACCTACCTATCACACATAGGAAATGCTGATCTTTTTTTTAGCATGAGAGAGCAGTGAATGGTAAAGTAACACAATGTTCAAATTGCGCTCCAGCTATTGCTGTTGTAGACAGTTTTTGTTAGGCATCTCAGTTACTAAATTGAATGTTAAGAGAAATGGAAAGGGTGACAGGCAGGCAGTTAATAGCCCCATATATGACGATGTGGGAAATGCAAGGAGGGAGGATACTAGGGATCTAAATGAAAAACGCCATGCACACAGAGGATGGGTAGTATTAGGAAGGTAATTGTTACAGTAATTTGCCCTTTGGGGAAATAGTTATGTGTCCGCTAGAAGTTAGTTATGTCAGTGGCGGTACTTGCAACTTTCCTCCAAAAACATGAATTGTTTTTATATTACATAATAATATAGATAATTTTGATAAACAATACAAAAAATCGAGAAATCGTACTGCATTCTTCATCTTAATATTCACAATACCAGTAATTGCAAGAATTCTAAGATGACCATAACTTAGAACCTTGAATTTATGATTCAGTATGCTATTTTTCAAGTGAGAGACTTCATTCTTTGGTATTGGGTTATTTTCATAGCTTTCCTTTGATGCTTTCGACATGGTTAGGGAGTTTTTCTTTAGATATACAAAGGGATGGTATGCTCTTTTGCTAATGGTTCTTTCTTGTTTTGTTTTACTTTGGTTCTCGTTCGGAAAGATATATAACCCTTTTTTTCAGAGACATTTGTGTTTTTGTTCAAGGGATATTTGTTTTTATAAAAATAATAACTTGTTATTATTTTTTATATATATTATTTATTTATTTATTTATTTAGTTTTTAAATTTAACATAGTTGTTTCACTTAAGGATGTGTTACTTTCATGTTTCCCTAGTCTTTATATCCAGTGATAAAATTGTTCTTTTTCTTTCTCAAATCAGTGGTCTACAACTGAGAGCTCTGACATGATTTCTTTCACAAAAGTTGCTTATGAACTTACAGTTTGCATCAATACCATTATGTTTGATACCTTTCTTTTGCTAATTGATTTCTGATGGAAGTTTTGAATACACATATTTACCTACTATTTGTCTTCCTTTGTCACATAACCTATGAAGCACTGTAATTGCTAATGTAAAAAACATAGGACATTGATACCTATATATATTTATAACAATTAAATACAATATGAACATTATTTATAAAATATCTAAATCTGAGAATCAAAATATATATATATATGTCCATTTAAATTGAATAATTTTGTTTTATTACAATAAACGTTCTAAAACAAGATATGATAGTCTTTCAGCTGCATTCATCTATCTACTACCGAGAAGCTAAAAATACTGTAATTAAATTTAATATGTTTAACCCCCTCATAGATCATGGTTGTTTTGACACATCCTCAACCCCTAGAAATGTGTTTGATACGTTGTGTGTTGAAGCAAAGCAAAAATACTTTTCTTGAGACATTTGTTTGCATTATTGCACACATGCCGCACATGTGTGCGCACAGAAACTCGCCTAGTCTTAGGGGTGTCTATGCTCTGTAGCCCATTACTCTGGATATGAAATATTGAACTAGGCGAGTTTCCGTGCCGCACATGTGTGCGGCACAGAAACTCGCCTAGTCTTAGAGGTGTCGATGCTCTGTAGCCCATTACTCTGGATATGAAATATTGTACTGTTTGATGTTATTTTCACCGTTCTAACTTTTGATCTACAGTTTTTCAGGAGATTTCATACTGCATATGTAGATGCAGTTTCAAATCCATTCCATGTGCCTGGTAAAAAGATAACATCCAGAACTTTTGCAGAAAGAGTGAGCACAATTGTCAAGTCATTTGGTTTTAGTTCGGCTGCGTAAGCATCAAATATTGGTGCTAGTATTATCCTTTGTTGATATCTGGCACTAAACCTTTTTTTATTTCTCTTTTTCATTGTAAATTTAGTATTTCTTAGCAATTGAACATGGCAGTGGTAAAACATTCTTAGGAACATTTCCATAGATTTTTATGTTCATTGTTCCATATATCATTAAAAATGAATCTTCACTTTTTTTTAATTTTTAAAATTAACTGATACTTGAAGGAAAATTTATATATAACTGAACATGTTATCTTTAATAGTTATCCGTGATGATTATTGGTTGAGTAGGTCAAGGGAGATGGTAGTAGCACACATGGATGGGCAGCTTTCGAAGGGAAAGAGAAATAGACATAAAAAAGAATTGTTCTCTGTAGATGAATCACATGAAAAAAAATTGGGATCATGGAGATTAGCAATTAAGAATACACTTTATTCCAAAGGAGGAGAGTATCAATCTATTCCCCTGATAGGTTGTATGTAGAAAGTGTTTGCAAAGTTGCTGGCAAAGAAAGGTGATCAACATAGTTGTATCAGAGGAACAAACTGCTTTTTTCAAAGGGTGATAAATGTTGGATGTGATTCTAGTTGCCAACAAATTAGTTGAAGAAAAAAAAAGAAAAGATTATCCTTTTTAAAGTGGACTTTAAAAACACATAGGATTCAAATGCATTATGCATATAATATAGCGGAATGAAATTATTTGCAAGAAGTGGTGAGATTTATGGGTTTTTGTGACCAATGGAGGAAGTGAATAGAAGAGTGTTTGAGGACAGTGTCAATCTCAGACTTTAAAGTAGATTGGGGATTAACATATCAAATGTTTAGCTAAAAGTGGTGACATATGTGTACTAAAGGATGGAAAAACATAAATTTGTCAAGAGGGCGTTGTGTGTACTATTGCACACAACTCTTTTACCATTACCTAGTATCCATCATTTTTCAGAGCTCTGTCATGTATTGTCACCAAACTGAAATCTTTAAATAAACAATTCTTCTGGAGAGAGTGAGGAATTGAGGAGAGTAAATTGAGTAGAATGGGATAAGGTTGTTGAGAATAGAAAAGTATGGGGGTTTAGGCTTAGAATTTTTTAGAGCATTCAATGAGACTCTGGTAGGGAAACCGGATTGGAAGTTGACATGTGAGAAAAATGGCCTTTGGTTTTACGTGAATTTCTTAAATTTAGAAGACAAGAAACATGAGTTTCTAGGAAAAAGCTATATTGATAAAGGACATTGTTGTACAGATAAAAGTTTTGTCTTGGAATTGGCTTCGAACAAAAGTTTTCAAGTTCAATATCTCAGTGGATTTCAAATTCATTAGCTTGCTTGGGATGCAGAATGTAATTAATTTGGAACTGTTGGAATTCTATTGAACCGTAACAGGTTCTGCTGTTGGCAAAAAGAAAAGGGACAGACTTTGGTTTTGATATTTTCTGCATAGCTTGTGAGAATGCATATGAAGGAGAAATGATGTTGTGAATACTAGGGATTATCTGACTACCAGCATATACATGTTATGAACTATTTTGACTATGAGGATCTGGGATCGGTGTCTAACCCTACAGTTTTGGCGTTGAGCAGAGATTTTGAATTTATAGTTTATAGGTTATAAGCTCATATGATAATAAAAAATTTGTTTGGTAATAGTCTTTTCATCGAGATTTTGAATTTATAGTTTATAGGTTATAAGCTCATATGATAATAAAAAACTTGTTTGGTAATAGTCTTTTCATCACGAGTTTATAACTTATTTTACTAGTTTATAACTTATTTTTTAGACGTTATTTTAATTAATGTTATATCTTATAACTTATAATTTATAATTTCTCTCCACTTTTGTTCTTATTATTTTAACTAAAATACACTACTATCTTTTATAATTTATTTTAATTTAAATAAATAATTATATATTAAATATTTTTTATATCATTGTAATTTATCAATTAGTTTAATTATTAATTTTACCAAACACTTCAATTAGCTTATAGCTATAAGTCATCAATTATAAACTATAAACTATTAGTCATAAGCTATAAACTATCATATAACTAATCAATCAATCGTTATTTTTACTAAATAAGCTATAAACTATCATATAACTAATCAATCAATCGCTATTTTTACTAAATAGAGTCATAATGACCTAACTATTTTATTTTGTGGATACCGACAAGCCTATTTACGTTGAGTTATTGATTGCAAGCAACCTATAATCTATTTAATCAAACACATTTTTCTGCACTTTTTCTATCTATCATATAAGAAAGTAAGATGTTATGGAATTTCCAACACCACCGTTGATCTATTTGCACATAAAATCACTTTATTTGGAGGGCAATTTCAGTCTTTTCTCAAATAGGTCTCCAATTTTTCAAAACGTCCTTGATTTATTTGCTCTTTAATTCACTTTATTGGGGGAATCTTTTGACTTTTCGCAACATGTTCAAATTTCCCTTTTAAATGAATGAATATACTGGACTATCACACTTCTTTAAATATCATTTAATAGTAACATGAATATACTGCAAGGTAGGATATCAACACATACACATTCCACAAATAATCACTTGCAATATTACTTAATATATTCTTACACCCAACTCAACAATCACACACAATAGATATTATGCATACAATCAATCTATTCATGTAATGCAACTCAATTATGCAACTCAATGCATGTGCATGTGGTACCAACTCAATATTTAGTTTTCTCTAGAACCGAGTTCCATCTCTGAATCCATAAGCCCCCTCTCTGAGCTCCAAACCCCTTCTCTAAGATTGGACAAACCATTATTCCCCTCTTTGAACTAGCGAACATGTCTCTTGACACAACTCAAATGATACATGATCATATCACTAATATCAATGCATTAATACCCCTCTCTGATCCTAACATAATGCACTAACAACTCTCGTAACCCCCCTCTTTGAATTACCATAAAACAACAACAACGTATATGCATATCACAAATATAATATCAATGTAACTCAATCATTAAGTAGTTTCTCTCAATTGAACTATTAACTCACACATGCAATAACACATCATTCATGCTCAACGTGCTCAATACATCAAATCATATTCACACTAACAAGCATACTCGTCATAGCATTATTGCAAACATATCATCAACAATACATGTAATTCTCATCAATTACTCATGTTAACACAAACCATTATGCCCTTAAAAAAAATTTCATTTGTTAGTAATTTGTGTTGGCTTTTCAACGCTTCGAACGGTAACTCATTTGGACTTGCGGATAAATAATTATTATCAAAAACGTGTTGGAAACCAAATCTTCCTGGTCGCGACGACCTCGGTGACGCCCATCACCACCATGCCACGATGTCCACCATGGCCCCATGACAACCGCCATGAACCTAAAAACTAGAAAAAAATGTATTTTTTTAGTATTTGAGCCCTTCTGGAGTTCCGATTTCGATTCCATAAAAAGTCTCAATCTCGTAATTTGAAACCTAACAATTATCTAATTATTAAAACATCAAATTTACAACTTATCACATATTGGCATTAATTAAATATATATTTCATAACTTTATCAATTCCATAAACATTCAAAACTCTCAGCAATGGTAAAATTATCCCAACACTAAAAATAGAAAATACAATCACACATACTGCACGTAAATCATCAATGATCACAACATACAACATCAAGATATCATAAAAATTTAGAATTAAGCAAAATCCCAAATGCCCTATGGGAGGTTAAGGACTCCTCTACCTTACCCTTCATGCATATACCATTTGTTAAAGTTATTCTTCCCCCTTACCTTAGATTTTTCCAACAAATGCTTTCAAGCTCTATCAATGGGTGTTCTTCCTATGCATTCTCTTGCTCTTTCTCTTACCCTAGCCTCCTTTTTCTCTTTTCTTCCAAAAATTCTAAGTACTGTTAAACTCCTCTTTCTAATTCTCTTTTTACACAAAAAAACTTAACCCCCTAATTGATTATTCTTACTTTATCCTTACTTCTCTCTCTAATCCCCACCTTGCCCTCAATATCTCCACTCTTCTGTTTTCTTTTATTTTGTTTAAATAATAAAATCAAATCATTATTTGAATTAATAAAATAATTCCAATTTATTCCCTCTTTCTCTAATTACTCTCCACACTCTACTATAAGGTCACACATCATTCCTCTCACCCACATTTATTTAATCATCCACACATGATAATTAAATAAAGGGTTAAATATATGTTACCCCCTGCCATTATAGCGAGTTTTGGTTTCCCCCTCTACAAGATTTTTTTTGTGACCCCCCTTTACCAAATCCAGATTTCATCAATGAAGACTCTTGTGTCACTATTTCGCTGACTATGTAAGTGAGACCTCCTAGTTGGCATCTGATAGCGAAGTTGACTAGACCATTTAATGCCACGTTTGATTAAAATAAAAAATGGCTTGTTGACTGGATCATTAAAAAATAACTCATAAATCAATTATTTTCTTATTTACCCCCTGGTGAAAAATTAGGACTCATAACTGGGAATTTCACCCAAAATAGCAAGTTGGGAAGACGGACACGGTCGGAGAAGACGAAGTCATGGTGGAGCGAGGCTAAGATGTAGATGAAATGTCACTGGTTAGTTTGGTTTATTGTCGCTCTTTGTTGTTTCGAAATGCAGTTTGTTTTACAATTGTTGTTATCTTTAATTTCAGAACATGCAAGTATTTAACATTGTCTTTCATCATAGAGGGGAGTTTGTAAGGTTGATTGATGGTGAAATGATTTACGGAGATGGTGTTTCGACCATAGTGTATGAGCAAGTCATTGGTAAAAGGTTAATGGTTAACATTCATAATTTGGTTAATGGGTGATGTTACATAGAAAGGACGTACAAAACATGGACCAAAATCCTAGACATAGATGAAAACTTTTTCTAGATTAGGAATAATGATGATGCTTATGATTTCGCTGCATACGCTTGTGCGACCCAAGTAGATGGGGAAATGTTTGTGGAAAATGATGTCAATGGTATAGAAGTCACAATTAAGATGTGTGAGTGAAATGGTAGAGTTAGATGGAAGTGATGAAGAGGGGGTTGAAGGGTTGAATGATAGTGAGGATGAAAGAATCATTGTTATTGAAGATGAATTTGATGGAATTGATGTCTCTCTACCCATTAGTGAGGGTCCAATAGTACCCGGATTGTTAATTGGTTCCAATAAGAAGAAATGGGAAAATGATGAATATGTTAGTGATGAGCTGGACAACTCTGATCCAGATGATTCTCAAGATGATAATGGGCCTAAGTTTGAAAAGTTTAAGAAAGAACAACTTAATAAGAATTTCAAGTTTAAGTGGGGTATGCAATTCAATTCTCTAGATGACTTTAGAGAGGCAATTCGTGAGTGGTCAGTTTTAAATGGTAGGGAAATTACTTTTGTGAAAAGTGAGAGTTACAGGGCAAGGGTAGAATGCAGGGCTAAATGTGGTTTTTTAATGTTATGCTCTAACGTGGGCCATAAGCACACTTACATCATTAAGACTATAAAAGACAACCACACATGTGCTAGGATTTTGGATCATAGATCTACAAATTCAAGGTGGGTGGCCAAGGAAGTTGTGAAGAAAATGCAAACATCTGAGACAATTAGGATTTGTGATATTATTCAAGACATGAGACAAAATTACTCTGTGGGAATTACTGTGGCTAGGGCATGAAAGGCAAACCTGATAGCAGAGATGATAATTGAAGGAGATGCAGACAAGCAATATGCAAACTTATAGAGATATGTTGCTGAGTTGAAAAGGGTAAATGATGGGAATAATTTGAAGATCAACATTGACAGACTAATCTCATCAATTCAACCAAGGTTTAGATCTTTTTAATTTTGTTTTGATGGATGTAAAAAAGGATTCATAAATGGATGCAGACCATGTGTTGGGGTTGATGGGTTCCACTTGAAGACCAAATATGGTGGTTTTTTAATAGTTGTGGGTAGGGACCCCAATAACCAACATTTCCCATTGGCCTTTGGTGTTGTGGAAACTAAAACAAAAGATAGTTGGAGGTGGTTTCTAAAGTTGTTAATGGAAGATGTTGGACAAGACAATATATATGTCTTTATTTCAGATCAGCAAAATGTGTGTCATTTTCAACTATTAGTTGTTAGTTCATACTTCTCATTTTGTTTTCATACTTCTCATTATCAAATGTCAGTTGTTTTAAAAGTTGTGTCATTTTCATGATTGTTACAAGGTTTGGTAGCAGTATTTGAAGAAATGTTTGAAATAATAGAGCATAGGCTGTGTCTGAGACATTTGTATGCAAACTTCAAGAAATATTTTGGAGGTGGATCATTAATAAGAGATCTCATGATGGGAGCAACCAACAACTTATCATCAATGATGGATGTAAAAAATGAATGAATTAAAGCAAGTATACCTCAAGGCTTGGGCATGGCTAATAAGAGTACCTCCAAAATGTTGGTGTAAGCATGCATTTAGTTTTTACCCTAAATGTGATGTACTGATGAACAATATTGTCGAGTCTTTTAATGCCACAATTTTAGTAGCTAGGGATAAACATATAATAACCATGTGCGAATGGATTAGAAAGTACTTAATGAATAGGCGCAATACTTCTGCAATGGAACTTGAAAAATGCCAACACAAGGTTACACTAATTCTTAGAAAGAGATTAGATAATGAGGTGGCTATGAGTGGTCATTGGTTGCCAACTTGGGCTTTGGATGAAAAATTTCAAGTTACTCATTCTTATAACAGACAGGAATTCATAGTTGACATTGACAAAATGTCTTGTAAATATAACTTCTGGGAGTTAGTTGGCATTCCTTGTAGGCATGCTGTTGTAGCTTTAGGTTTTAGGCAACAAAATCCAAAAATATTTTTTTTGATGAATGTTACTCTAGGAAAAAATATACCCTTTGTTATGGTTTTGCTGTGAGTCCCACTAATGGACAGGAAATGTGGCCTAAAGTTGAATGTGAAGAGATTCCACCTCCTAGGTACAAAAAAGGTCCTGGAAGACCAAGAAAATTAAGAATTAGGGAGTGTGGCGAGGAAGGTGCTAGAAGAAGATTTTCTGGTGTATCTTATAGGTGTGCAAAGTGTGATAAGTTTGGGCACAATGTCGAGTCATGCAATAGCAAAAAACAAGATCCAAATGCCTTGAAAAGAAAGGTATTGTTGTTTGTCTGTTTAGTATTGTTTGTTCAAAATGTTATGAATGTAAACAATGCTCTGATATTGTGGATTATTGTAGAAAAAGATCAAGTCTGATGCATGTACAAATCCAACCGCTGAGGTGAATGCTAATCAACCAAATCAAACAACTGATGTAAGTCAACATGATGGTTCTGCTCAACCCAACCAACCAACTGAGGCAAGCCGACATAATGCAATCACACCAGATACATGATTATTTGGTGATGTTTCTAATGAGATGATGTCAACCATACCTGACATCAACATAACAAATCCAACTATGCAAACAACAACTGACATTAGCTCAACAAGTACCAAAAGGAAAGGCAAAGCTAAAGAAAAATAGGAACGCAAACCAATGAAAAAGAGGTCAAGTGAGAGAATTAAAAATAATTGGTTTCAAAAACCAATCATAGGGCCCGGCTTAAACCCTAACCAACCAATGTATTTGTCAGAAGAAGGATGAGGTATTCTGACACAAGAAGGCAATGGATCAACCAAATCTCAAAATTCAAAGAAGGGTACAAAGAAATCTCCAAAGAAGAAATCAAAGAAGTAATGCATATTATGTTATGACCTATTGTAATCAATTATATCCTTGTGTAATGACTTATGCACTTTTAATGTCCTTTTGTAATGATTGTAATGCACATTTTGTATGCCATTTTCTAATGATTTTGTAATGAACGTAATGCACGCTATTAGTGTCATTTTGTAATGACTAATGCACACTTTTGGTGCCATTTTGTAACCATCTTATGAACTAATCATTTCAAAACTTTATATCACAATCATTGATTGACAAAAAAAGTTAAACATTTTATTAATACAAAGCAATTTTAAAAATGTGTCATAATTTTCAACGTGATGAAAATACATTATATTGCATAACTTTCAAATACATCAAACTACATAAAATTATGAAAACATGAAAATTACATTAACTTGTACAACATTGCAAAAATCAACCAAGAGATCACAACTACCATCTTCAAATTGAAATACTTCTTCTTCTTCTGAACTTCAATCTTCATCTTGGCTTTTTCTAACTTCTTCAATGTGATTTCTAATTTCACATTTGCCATCTCCCAGTTTTGGGAACTTCCTTGAATATTAGAATCCCTTTCATAGAGTCTCCAATTTCACCATCCCACACAAACAGGTCACAAGTATTCCCATTCTAGAAACACAAACAACATTTACACAACTATGAACATCTTAAACATCACTTCTTAATTTTAAAAAATATTTATAAAAACAAGATTTTTCACCTTCATTGCACGACCGCATTCGCATCTGGGTAAAGATGAAAATCTAGTGGAAGGTGCGCTGCTGCTTCTAACCATGTTATCTTATACGAAAAATTGTACCAGGGAGAAGAAGAAGAAGAACGAATTCAAAAGAATGGAAGAAGAATAACGAAAACGCGAAGTGCAGAACAAAGCCCTAAGGTGAAGAACGAAGCAAATGAAGAAATGCACATTCATCCTATTAACGTGGCATTAAATGGTTCAGTCAGCTTCACCATCAGATGCTAACTAGGAGGTCTCACTTACATAGTCAGCGAAATAGTGACACAAGAGTCTTCATTGATGGAATCTGGACTTGGTAAGGGGGGATCACAAAAAAAATTCTTGTAGAGAGAAAACCAAAACTCGCTATAATGGAAGGGGATAACATATATTTAACCCTTAAATAAAAACATAAAATTATAATAAAATAATTTTACTAAAAATGGGGTGTTACATGGATGCCCTTAATAGTCGCCTCATTGAATCGGGTGAGATGCTCCCTTAAGGATTCTGAAATTCCCTAGAGAATATTGAACAAACTGGTGGTTCACAACCTCCTATGTCAGTTTGCTAAAAATTGGTGGTCCAACTTCTTTACCAGGTCCTGATAGTTGTTGTCTGACAATCGTGACAGGCTCATATACCACCTTAGCACGACATCCCTAAAGGTGCTGAAATAGGAGCTTGCACTTCAAAGAGTCTGAGGTTCCGATGATCTCCATTTGGGTTTTAATGGAGACAACATGCTCTTAAGGACCACTTCTTCTGTCAAATTTCGCAAGTGAATATGGCTTGAAACTTTCTGGCACATGAGCTCTCTAAATCTTATTAGAGAGTGGTTTGCGATCCAAGGCTTTGTCTCCTCAGGGGGGTGTCTCTTATTGACGTCGTTGGAGATTAAGGACGTTACCATCCAAAGTCTAGTTATGGAAAGGAAAGTCATCCATGACGGCGTGCATCTCTGTTATGGCCTCTTGGTCACCATCGAAGTTGTTGCCAACAAAAGTCGTTGTTGACATGTTCACCATATTAGAGAGGATTGAGGACGTGGATAATGAGTTGATCGTTGATTATGAAGGTGGCCTAGGTTAGTTTTAGTAGCGCCCTACGGAGGGCGCCAATTGTATTTGCTAAAAAGTACAATGAGGACAACCCCTTGTTGTGTAAGGTTGTTTGAGGATTTAGGGTATTTGGTTGTGTTTATGGCTTGCTCGTGTAGGGTTGTGAAAAGCTTTATGTACGACTTTTTTTGGAGAAGGATTGGATATCATTTCCTCAGTCCTAAGAATGATGTATTTATATAGGCTTCTTAGGCTTGGGTTGAAGAGTCAGAGGGCGGTTTACCCCAACTCCATGACCAGGAAACGTGACATAAAAGGGATTCATTCTTCTTGCTTGGAATCAAGGGAAGGTTGTTATCACTCTTTGAGTTATCTTTAACCATCTGTTGTGTGGACACATCATCTCCCACATTTACTAAGTAAGTGGACAATGAAAGTTAGTTTAGGAAGCTCAAGTATAATTGGGTGATTAGTCATCCCTGTAACTTGCGATTTGCAACACTGCGTTGGGCACCCGCCCAATGTTGAAACAATAGGCTTACATCTTGTATTTATGCGCCTTCCTTCATAAAATCCAATAAAGTTATCCCATATTAGTTATTTTATTTCATTATATAATAAATACATATGTTTCATTCCAAAATACCACAAAAACCACTTATAAGTTTTGTCTTCTTCACTCTATAATTCGCGTTCTCGAATTGTCAAAAATGCCATTTTTTTTTACTTCGAGTCATTATTGGATTCTCTTTAAAGAATTATCTGAATTTCTTCTCGTTCGATGATTTTTTTAAGGTTTACTCCGAGTAATTATTGGATTCTCTTTAAAGAATTATCTGAATTTCTTCTCGTTCGATGATTTTTTTAAGGTTTACTCCGAGTAATTATTGGATTCTCTTTAAAGAATTATCTGAATTTCTTCTCGTTCGATGATTTATTTAAGGTGATCAAACGATGATTGAATTCTTTGATGAATTATTCAAATTTCTTCTTGATTGAGAAATTACTTAGGATGGTCGAATAACCATTATTTGAGGATGTAAATCTTGACCCGTTATCTATAATGTGGTATTAACCGTAATACTTTGATTTGTGTTGTTTTATTCTATTGACGTTATGGTTGATCGTCTGTCTTGCATAATTTTTGACAATTCCACGAAATGCTTTAAAGAGAGTAACCTAATCAACAACTCAACCCAATAATTTTTTCGGTGACATATTTTCAAAACCGATTTTAAATAGAAAACAACAGTACCAGAATCCATATATTTGTAATAACACATTGAAAATGATACATCACCATTGGTCCACGTTGTTCAAAAGTCTAAACCTCAAACTACTGACCTCGACTGACTTGATCATGAGAATATTTGCAAGTGCACTGTCACTTCTGAAAATTAATGTTCAAAGATCATCAATCAACATTCTCTACCATTCGGATCCCCCTTGGTCCGACTATATAATTTTGAATAAGTTTTTACCTTAAATAGCATACATTGAATCTATTGATTCTTGAACCCTCCCTAGCACGTCCTTATCACATGCAATTGTTTAGATTCCTTATCTTACTAATTTTCCATATCATGTACAGTAGAATTTGCTTCCATGGCAAGTCAACAACTTCATAGTCATAGATCTCACATTTTTAACAACATTTGTATCAAACACAGATTGTGACTTACATTGAAACTCAAATCATGCAGCTTCTAATACCAAGTCACCAAAAGAAAAGAAAAATCTCATAATGTTATCAGAATACCTTTGCTATTGTTACAATATGTAGGGGAAAGAAAGAACCTAAACATGAGTATTAGTATTCTAAAAACTTACAGTTTCGATTTAAAGAGCCGAAACGCCGCTATTTGAAGATATCTGGTATTCACTATTCACACAAGAAAATGATACAAGAAAGTAAAAATTAATGATAAAAACTTATATATCAGGTAGCACTAGCTTCTGTTGGTGTTGTACAAGGTGCTAATGTGTTAGGACGCAGGTTCATACCGCCCCCTCGAACGGAAATAGTAGGGAACTTAACATTGCTTGCCCTACTCACGAGATTTGAGTCGATAAACACGACAATCACGGTGATATCGTCATGGAAATGCCTACGAACTCCACGGTCGATATCTTTTAAGTCTGAATATCTCATTTCTCTCTTCTTTGCCGCATCTTGAAGTGCGGCTTTCACTAGCCTCCTTGCAATTCCCTGAAAAGTTACAATAAGCCGTGTCAATTTAAATAAATCATGGTAAAATGATAGTGTTTTGTATCGTAAGGTTTGTATCTCACCGAGCGAGGATTATTTTGAACTATATCAACTGCTTCTTGATTGCTAAGGTGCTCCCAGAGCCCGTCAGATGCAAATATAATAAACTGATCTTGTGGCTGCAGCTGGTGAACTGATATAGATGGTTCCGAGCTCAATATTGGGGTTTTGAACGGCTCGCGAAGCCGAAACTTTGCATATAAAGGTTCTCTATTGAACTCGGCCTTTTTCAGATATACATCACCAATAGATCTAGATATCTGCAAATGTAAAAAACATGTAAGATAAAATGACGTCGTAAATGAAGAAGGGACAATCCAAACGTCCAAGTCGAGAATACTGGACCAATCCCTTACTTGTATTAGACCCTTGACACGCCATACATTATGCCTCAAAACAACAATGTTTGAATCGTCGGGGTGCATAGATTGCAGTTCGTGTCTTATTGACTCTATAGCTGCATTATGTTCTGTTGACAATTGTACAGCTAAAACCTCCCCGGTTGCTTTGACTGCTCTTCCCAAAACTGCTCGGGAATCACCGAGATTTGCTATATAAAGAGTTCCATTGCATATTACACCGACAAGACAGC